TGATCATCAATAAACTCATCTGATGAAACACTAATTTGGTCATTCCTATACTCATTACTACCCGAATACTCTTTATCTTCAATCTCCACAGGATCAGCAGCTTTCAAATCTTCCATAGTATAACTTTCACTATCAGTGTCTTCCACATCCATTCTTACAGTCTTATTCTGCTGTCTTCTTAAATATGGCACCTTTCTTGTGTCTTTTCTTTCGTCTATCTCAGATGACTCTGGTATGTCAATTTTATTCCTTTTCATAGGGGTAATATAATAAAATTTCTAATAAACTTTAAAAATCTTCAATTGAATTTAAATTTATCACAAAATAAATATCACATAAGCATAAAACTAAAAATTAGTGAGCGTCTTTTTTCAAATTATCATTTCTGATCTTTGATTTATTTTAATTTGCCAATTATTATATGTGTCAAATCAATCTAATGTTATTATCAAATTAATAATTTTTAACTAATTTACCTCAAATGGTTAATTGAAGACAGTTTTTATTCTGATGAAAAACTTCTATCTTGATCAAAAATCAGTAAAATATTTTTATTGGAAAATTACTCTTAATAAAGGATTAATTTATTCATTTATATTTTTGCAGCTAAATGAACTTTTGGTTGTGAACTTGGATTTCTGTCTACAAGAATGTAAGTTTGATCTTTATTACCATTTTCACAAGGTAACAATTCGACATTTAATTTGTCAAATTGACTTTCTTCACCTATCTTTGTAAAACAGTTTCCATTAATATCTTTCAGTCTCACTTTTATGTTTTCTGTTAAAAATTCTAGTAAAATAATCATTTCTTTTGAGCCTGCCGAACATTTAACAATTTTATTTTCAGTATTCACACACAACTTATTTGCACCTAAATTGAATTTTGTTACCATATTTTTCTCAACACCTGGTGTTAATTCAGGGATTTTAAAATTATTTTCCGATAGAGATCGATTAAGTCCTTTTAATTCTTTTCCATCAAAAGATAAAGCATGATTTTTGTTTTCTAAGAATGCAAAGATTTTAGATGTGTTGGGTAATTCAGAGCTAATCAGTTTTAAATTTCCTAAAAGTCTTGTTAATAACATTTTGTGTTTCAAGAGATATTTTTATTTTATGTTTAATCTTTTTGAAACAAACAATAAATAAACATTTTATATTTTTTTGTTAGCTTGATTTGTAAATTTGTTTGTTTTTGTTTCAGGAAACTTTAAATAATAATTTCCATAAATAAACATGTTATTTCCAACAATTTTAGGAATATTAAATTCAAAGTTATTAGCATCTAAGCAGGAAGGCGTTTTTGAAACACCTCTCGATAATATAATGTATAAACCACTTGTATATAATGATCATGCTTCTGTTATAAATACTGTTATTAAGAAAGATAAGCTTTATATGAGAAGTTTTGCAGATGAAAGCTCACTTATTAGATGGGATACCAAAAATGAAGTTGATAATTGGTCTTTTTCTGTGACATTTGATGAACCCAACTTATCAGCTGTTGAATATGGAGGTATTTATATTTACTATACCGATGAAACACCCATGTTGGGAAAATTTCATGGAGCATTTGACACATTCAATGGTTATGTTATGGGTTTAGAAACAAAAGGTGTATCTCATGATCTTATATTTGGTCATAACAAGGGTGTGAGTATGATTAATATGGATGATTATATGACTAAAAGAGATAGTATTGATCCTGAGAGATTTAGAGGTCATAGTGAATTAACAATGAAAGTTATAGCAACTGAAAAAAATTTTAAAATAGAAATTTATGGTGATGGAGAATTGATTTATGACAGTTTCAAACTGACTCTTAATGAATTAGATGTTCACAAAAAAGGAAAGTATTTTGGTATTGTAGCAGACTATAACAACGTAAGTACAGCAAAGGCATATGCTATAAAAGAGGTTAAACTTTTTTCAAGAAATGAAACATCTGATTATGATAAGTCAAAGATTAATCAAAAAGAGCTTAAAAGACCAGAATATAGATATCTTCATCAATATGAACACAAAGATGAAGAAGTAAATGAGCTTTTACATGTTCTTACTTTAATACAAAATTTTGTAAAAAATGCTGTTGGTGACTTACCCAACACCACAATCCAAGTAGCTAAGAATGAAATAACTCATCAATTTGAGATCATAAGTGATTATATTGATAAAGTAAAACAACTCAATATTTTTAACCAAGAACCTGACAAAAATCTCAATGGAAAAGTAACAGAAATAGAATCACAAGTAAATTCTATAAAAAAGATGCTCGAGTCATTTGAGTTATCAATTGATAAAAATTTAAAGAATAAAACCTCAACAAGTCCAAAAACACAATACATTCTACTAAGCATTGGAATAATTTCAATATTAATTTACGGATACATTGAATTAATGCAAAAATAAACTAAATTTAGTTTAAACTTTATTAATCAGATTACATGACGTAAGCTGGAACATCATTAACACTCTTTCCAAAAAGTTTTGCAAATGATTCACCACTCTCTTTAAGTGCTCTGGTTACCTCTTTTGGTGACTTTTCTTCAATAGTACATCCAACAGACAAAGCTGATCCCAAAACTTCACAGAGAACACCTCTCTTAGTGAGTGATCTTGATTTCTTAGATTCGATAGTTTCTTCAACAATTGCAAATAACTTATCAAGAGAAAGTGGATAATTATGGTGTCTTAAAACTTTGTCTCCTCCCTTCTTTCTAGCTGGTCTATTTTCATTTAATTCTCTAATGATCATCTGTGAGACTGATGGTACTACATAGACAGTAACTGCTCTTACAATAACTTCTATTAAAACAGTGATTTTCTGATTCTTATACATAGATGTCTTTTCTTTAACGGTAGCTCCAACTTGCTTACCATTTAATTTATATGAACCACATTTCTGAGAAAATGCTGGTCCTGGTACTTCACCTCCAATTACTTTAGCATAAAAATAAATTGCTGCTGGGTTTTTTTCAATAAAAGTCATTTAAATTTAGGGTTAAAAATTTTATTAAAAATATTTTCAATGAACATTGCTTTTATATCGGACCACTTCTATCCAGGAATAGGTGAGGTAGAAAGTCATCTGTTATCATTAGCTAGTGAGTTTGTTAAACTCGGTCATAATGTTATTGTGATTACTCGCAAGTATAATAGTATTTATAATGGATGTATTAAAATGAATGGATTTTTAGTTTATTACTTAGATTTGCCAATTATGATTAATGATGTTACTTGGCCTATGCTTTTTAGTGGATATCTTTTTTATAGTAAAATTTTTACAAAGCATAAAATTGAACTAGTACACGGTCAACAGTCTACAAGTACTATGTGTATAGAAGGTATTTTCCATGCAAATAATATGGAGATTAAGACTGTTCTTACTGACCATTCTATTTTGGAGTTTGATAAACCTGAAATTTTATTATTAAGTTTTGTTTCAAGAATTGTATTTTATAGTTTAGATAGAATCATTTGTGTTTCAAAACCAGGTATGGAAAACACTCAAATTAGATTAAAAAAAGAAATTGATAAATTTAATATAATATCAAATGGAATTGACTTTAGAATATTTTATCCACATTCTCTAAAAGGAAATATAAAATCAAAATTTATTGATCAGAATGACAAAATGATAAAAATTTTAGTTTGTACACGATTTAAGTTTAGAAAAGGTATTGACTTATTGATAAAAGCAATTCCATTAATATGCGCTAATAAAACATTAAAATTGATATATTAGGAGATGGTTTATTAAAACAAGACCTAATTCAGGTAATTGAAGATTATGAATTAAATGACCATGTAAAGTTATTGGGAAGCATTACGTTTGAAAAAGTTCCTGATTATATGAGAAGGTCTGATATTCTTTTAAACACCAGCTTAACAGAGTGCTTTTGTATGGTTATTTTAGAAGGATTGGTATCTGGATGTAAAATTGTTACAACTAACGTGGGTGGTGTTGATGATTTTAAAAAATTTAAAAACGTATTCTTTGCTTTACCAGACCCAAAAGATATAGCCGATCAAATATTTAAAGTATCTAAAATTAAAGTAACTGATAATTATGATTTAATAATAAAAGAATATGACTGGAAAAAAATAACTTTAAAAACAATCGAAGTATACAAATCAATAGAAGCATCCAATAAAAAGTTTATTTCCGCTATTAACAAGAAATTATTGCTTCTATTGATAATTTTTATGATTTTCTTTAATAAAATTTAAATGGTTATTTTAAAGATCAAAGAAATTGATCTTTTTATAAAATTCATTTCAATATTTAAGAAGACTAAATTTATTACATTTGAAATTAGTTTAACTGTAATGAAAGTTTATTCTAGTTGTTCATATCATATTCATTTGTTAATCTCTGAAGATATGTATAACATCACACAAGAGTGTTCTTTTACAATTAGTACCAAGTACTTATTTGACAGTTTAAAAAGAGTTGACGTGTCTTTTATAATATTGGATTCTTCATTCCATATTATATCTGATCCTAATACGGAACAAATAAGATATGCATCGGAAATAGAACTTTTTTATCAAAATAAACTTAATACAGATGATGAAGTTATTGAATTTACAAATGAAATTAAAGACACTTTATTTAAAAATTATATTGACATTCCCTTTTTAACTCTGACAACATTTAATCTGTCTGCAACTGATAATATACGATCTATGTTTTTGATTTCGAAAGAATATCTTAAATTGATGCCCGATGATTTAACAAAATATAACTTGCTTGAAGAATTAGTTTTGGAACCTTCAATT